TGATACAAATGCTTTGGCCACTGTTTCAGCGGTGATATCGGTGATGGCGACAGCTTCCGGCCATCGCGTAAAGCGATCGACGGCTGTCAAACAATACCGATATCCGTTTGAAAATGGTAATGGGCCGATCAGGTCTATATGGACGTGTTTGAAACGCGCTGAAGGTAAATCGTGCGTACCTAAAGGTGAGGCAACGTGTCTAGTTACCTTCGAGCGCTGGCAAGACAAACACGCCTTAGCCCATTCACGGCAGTTTTTTCGCATCAGTGGCCAGACGAAGCGTTGGGAAATGAGTTTGGCTGTGGCATTGGCGCCAGGGTGGCTGAGTGAGTGAAGACAGTTAAATACCTGCTGACGCAGTTGTTGGGGAACGAAAGGTCTGGGTGTCGGTGTACTTACGTCGCAGTACAAGACAGTACGACTCCCAGGTATGGTCGTTCTAGTGAGGCGAAGAGAAGAATCGCCTTTGAGATGTTCTGCCAGCTCTGGATCTGTGGCTTGGAGCTTGGCCATCACTCCAAGGTCGACTGGCACCTGCAGTTCATCAACGCGCGACAAAGTGTCGGCGACCAAGTTGTCTTTGCCGGCAATATGGACGATGTCGGTGGTGAACTGCGAGATGAAGTCGAGGTGTCTATACTGACGTGGCGAACAGTTACTTTTCCGTTCATGGAAAGCATAACATATTGGCTTATGGTCAGTATAGACTGTGAAGTGAGTGGCTTCTAGCATGTGCCGAAAGTATTTTATGCTCTCATAAATAGCAAGGAGCTCTCTATCGTACGGAGAATATTTCACCTGCGATGGGCTCAACTTGCGAGAGAAAAATGCTAACGGCTGCCAGGCTCCATCCTTCAGCTGCTGCAAGACTGCACCTATCGCCGTATCAGAGGCGTCAGTGACCAGTCCTAGCTTAGCCTGTGAGTCTGGATGGGCTAAAAGGGCAGCATCACAAAGACTCTTCTTGCAAGCCTCAAATGCACGCAGTGAATCCCCCTCTATGACGACTGGATGGGAAGCTTTGACCGATCCGGTCAGCAAGGCATTTAATGGCGCTTGAATTTGAGCGGCGTTAGGCAAAAATCGCCTGTAAAAATTCACCATCCCCAAATATCGTCGGAGTTCTCGGACGGTTTTTGGAGGTGGGAACTGTGATATGGCCTGTACCTTGCTGTCCAGAGGTTTAGTGCCCTTTTCAGAGATTTGATACCCTAGAAACGTTACTTCAGACGCGCCGAAAACACATTTGGCGGTGTTAACAAGTACGCCATAAGTGCGCATACGCTCGAAAAGTTGACGTAAGTGGTTTTCGTGCTCGCGTGCGGTTTTGCTAAATATTAAAAAATCGTCTAGGTACGGGTAACAAAAATCGAGTCCGCGAGTTAACTCGTCTACAAATCTCTGAAAAGTTTGACCGGCGTTCCTAAGTCCAAATGTCATAAAGGGAAATTCGTATAGACCGAAAGGTGTGGTAATCGCGGTCTTGGGAATATCGTCCTCGGCGACAGGGATTTGGTTGTAGGCCTTAACCAAATCTATAACTGAGAATACCGTACAACCAGACAAATTATGCGAAAAATCGTGAATATGACGAATTGGGTACTGGTCGGGTATTGTTCGCGCGTTAAGTTGGCGATAATCACCGCAAGGGCGCCAGCCGTTATCTTTTTTGGAGACGAGGTGCAGAGGTGATGCCCACGGACTGTCAGACGGACGTGCGGTCCCATTCGCTAACATGACATCGAATTCGTCCTTTGCAATTTTTAATTTGTCGGGGGCGAGGCGTCTAGGGGTGCATGATACAGGTGGACCTGGTGTAGTACGTATGTGGTGTGTAGTGTGATGCTTTGCGATTCCCGGAGTACCAGCAGGGCGTGTTATTTCCGGAAACTCAGCTAAAATTTTGTGATAAACACTATCACCACCCGTTGTTACCTTAACACTAGATACATTATTGCTTACATCTAAACATGCTACAGTGCTGACATTAGTTAGGCTATCAATGAGTTTTTGTTGGCTGACGTCGACGATGAGGCGATAATGTGATAGAAAATCTACACCTATAATAGCTTTTGTGACGTCAGCTACGACAAATTGCCACGGAAAGTTCCGACGTAAGCCTAAATTAAGATTGAGCTGTATGTAACCGTACGTATCAATAGCAGAACCATTGGCAGCACTGAGCTGATATGAGGTTTTACACCTGCGCTCACAAAGCGCGGAAAGTGGATACACACAAATATCACTACCAGTGTCTATTAAATATGGTATATCGGTGCTGCGGTCCTTAATGAATAGACGACCCGTGCTGGAACTGTTACAGTTGTTGGTCGTCATTACCAGCTGCTTTGAGCGTTTTCGGGCTATACGGGATGTTGATCGCCCGCGTCGTCTTTCATCTTTGCGATGTTCAGTCGGTCGCGAACGGCGTTGGGACTGTATAGTCAAAGCACTCACCTGCTTTGTCAGCTCTGATACCTGACGTGCCAGCTGATCAATAGGTGACACTGCTGCTGATGCCGTTGTCGCGGCCGCTTCGACCTGGTACGTCGGCGCCGCGATGTCGTGGACACGGTCGGCTAGGTCGGCGAGTGCGTCCAGGGGTAGCGTCGCCTGCGATGCAAGAATTGACTGCATGGAAGTAGGCAGTCGGCTGGTCCAAATGGTTCTCACGAAATCCTCGGGTACCTCGGGTCCAGCAAGGTGTTGTAGGTGGCGCAGGAACTGTGATGGTTTACGAGTGTCGAGTTGCTCGTGCATCAACAGCTGCTTAACCTTATTGTCACGGGATGCTGATAGTCGCCTGATAAGCTCGTCCTTTAATCGTTGGTAGTCTGGGGGTCCGGTGAGAATGTCCTCAACCTCGGCAGCGTACTGTCTGTCGAGTGTAGCTAAGATGTGGTCAAATTTTGTCGTGTCATCGGTTACACGCATAATTGCAAATTGTCCTTCAACCTGCGCGAACCATATCGCTGGTTTTTCAGGCCAAAACGGTGGTATCCTTATCTGGGGAGGTATCTGCGGTGGTGAAGCACATTTAATGGGCGTCGCCATCTTGGGGCGCGGTCGTCGTTGACGCAAAGTAATATGGCTCTGCGATTTTTCCGCCTCCGATCCGCTCGATCCCTGACTTGCTGAGTGCATGGATATTATTTTCCCTGGTGTTCTGTGCGGGGTCACCAGTTTAGCGGTTGTTGTTGGTCGTGACGAGAGAAAACACGAATGAAAGTCTAAATATCGTCACTTGATAAAATAATATATTGTAAAAGTCAACACACACGTAAAAATAGTTCAGAAGGAGAAGTTTAGGAAGATACACAGTAATACACACGTTAGAGGTACAAACACAAGAAGTCCACATACAAAAACTAACGAAAACGATTAAATAATGTAAAACTAGTAAGTAGCATCAGCTGGTAAGGCGTCGACTGTCGTATGTTAGAAAAATCATTATTGGCCGGTAGGAGACAAATAAATTCCGTTCCGCCGTATACTACGGGTTTCGCGCGGCTATGCTTGTGAATAAAAATAAATATGAATAAATATTAATTTATAAATATAAATAATTAAATATTTGTATTGTATGAATGTAGGTGTATGTTTATATGATATTAATACGTAAATTAAATATTAAATAAATTATAAATATTATGTTTCTGGAAAGTTAATATATAAATATGATAAACTAAATATATTACGTATAAGTCACCTACAGTATTGAGATTTCCATACAAAAGTAGCTTCCAAATTTCCGTCGGCTAGATTTTCAAACCAATTCTTTCATTCATACCTTGTCTTGACAATTATGAACACAACGAAAAAGAAATCAATCAAAACGGTTTAGCCGTCCTCAAGTGGTGCTCTCTCATAAATGTGGCAAATGATTTTTTATACATTAAATTTGTTAGAATGACCTGAAGGGGCTTGACAATAATAAACTAGCCGAATATCTTAATTACCTTATCTATTAGCGTCTTACCCTCGCTTCGCCCGGGTTCGTCTCTAGGTACGTCTTAATAGTTACTATGGAACCTCCTCCTACCTCTTTAAAATATTAGTGTACCTAGGTGTGTATGAGAATTTCTAAAAAAACATGTAAATTCAATTTAATATGAATAACCGTTATCAAATTTATGTATATATGTCAGAGGGCGTTCAATGATACTTACTTACGCCGTCGAGGGTGCGTGGTCGATTTATCTATATGTGTGTCAGTATGGCGTCCGTGACATTTCCACACTAAGCTTCGGTCGTTTTCACATTGAATGTCTTAGAACCTTCCTTTTATTATGAACCGGTTTTTCTATCTCGGCCGATAACTCTTAAAAGATAGGATGATTCAATAAAATGCGGTTCATTAAATGGGCAATAAATCGAAAACAATAGATGCGAAATTTTATTCTCTACAAAAATAGTCTCAATGGCTTTGCCCTAAAGTGCATAGTTCCCGAGATATCGGCCAAAAACGGTTTTATCAAGATGGCGCCTGAAGCTCTACCAGAATCTGTCAGTATTTTGTGATTTTATACTCAGTAAGAGATCCTAAATCTTATAAAAGAAAAAAATTGGATCGAAAAGTTAGTGCAAAACTGACCAAAAAAATCGTCTATTTCGTCACTTCATATTTAGGTATTATAAATGAAAAGATATTTTTACCGCCAAATTCTTTCTATATTCTGACCTATTTCCCCGTATCTTAGGTTTTAAGTACCTACTCCTAAGTTTTCTATACCTACATACCAAGAACGTGGAGATGAAATCAGAAGAGTCTATTTATGTCATTCGAATAAATTGTTTGCATTCTAGTTCTATAGGAACTACATATATCTGTTTCGTGACAGGCGCCTTTGTTTATTCATATAGTCCTGTGCTCACTAGTATTACAATACGACATATTTTTCGATAAAACGATAATTTTGTAGAAGTACATTTTTACACCTTTAACGGTACGTAAAAAACTCGTTTACAATTAAGTCTTATCTATTGTTTCAGAAAACATCATGGGTTGCTTTGTGAGTAAAGATAAACTCACTAAAGAGGACATGGACTTCCTCAAAACGCATACATCTTATGACGAGACCACCATCAAGGAATGGTATAAAGGATTCAAGGTGAGCAAGACTCTGCAGCGGTTGATATTGCTAAGTAGGTAACATTGAAGCTTAACTAAAGGTTGTTTTTAATATATTTACAGCAAGATTGTCCTAACGGAAGGCTGACCCCGGCTAAATTCGTCGACATGTACAAGATGTTCTTCCCATCTGGTAACGCAGTTGAATTCTGCGACCATGTGTTCCGAACATTTGATATGGACAAGAATGGATACATAGATTTTAAGGTAACACTATGCGCTTATAACACATATATAATGCGCGATGTATGCGAATGATATACTTGTTTGTGTCTATAACTCTGTATGTGCCTGCAGTTGCGAATTGTTTGAATAAATATTTTACGTGCATTACTGCGAGATCAGCTCAATTTCAATAATTATTGTTATTCATAGAACTGGCGTAATTGTTAAACGTTTAGAAACAAGAGCTCTTGTTTATTTTACGTTGAGATGACTGCGACATCTCGAAATTTTATGTTTGTTGTAGGAATTCCTCCAAGCGATTCATGTGACCTCCAGCGGCACACCTGAAGAAAAGTTAAAATGGGCTTTCCGTATGTATGATGTTGACGGAAATGGGGTCATAGATATTCAGGAGATGACTAAAATAGTCCAAGTAAGTTTTAATAAAACTATTATTGATTGGGCCAGTATCACCAAATTTTATTATAAGCATTGACCTAAATTCACTTCTATTTTAGGCAATCTATGACATGCTCGGCGCTTGCTCAAGCAATAGGCCAGCTGATTCTGCGGAAGAGCGCGCTAAAAACATCTTTGCGAAGATGGATGAGAACAACGACGGACAGCTCACGCAGGAGGAGTTCCTCAAAGGATGCCTCCAGGACGAGGAGCTATCCAAAATGCTGGCGCCTTAAATTGGCAAATTCAGAAACTCCTCGAAACCCACTCACCCTGCCCCTTTTGCTTTATACCTCGAGATAACCCGACAGCGACGATTAACTATGAGTGTTTCTTCCTAATTCCTGTGCAATATAGTTGTTGCTAAATAATTATGATACATTAAAAAAACCGTTGTTCAAAATTATTATGCAATAAGATTTACGGTTCGAAAGATTACTGAATAGTCTGTCACTCATGATCGATACCCCGGTACTCGCTTGCGTTTTAAATTTACTCTGCTCATTTGAAGTGCAGGCTGCAGCATCGTAAATGTGCGCTCTCAATATATCTTCATAATGTCGCTAACTGAATGGAGCTGCAATGTATTTGTATAGTCTGCGATACGTTTGATCTGCGGTCTTTGCTTTCGATCAACCTAAATCTCGGTGCTAAAATCGGCACGATCGATACTGTTTATGAAGAACCGATAGTATTGTTTGCGTCAATCTGTATACGCCCAAGCTTAAATTATAGTTTCTTGGAAAAATTACCAAAAAGATTTTATTCAACTGAATCAGAGATTTATTTAAAGCAATTGCTTTTGATGTCGCTGTTGGATTGTCCTACTCGAAATGGTATAAAACATTATATCCGTACCATACATTTATTAAGCCAATGTTCTCAATATCTACTTATTCAATGTTAAATTTATCGATGGGTATCTAATGTACTGCACAAATATAAACAAAGTCAATCTTAAATTATTAAGGCAACAATTAGAATAGAGGCGAGCGAACAGAATAGGTCAGATTGATAGATTTATAATCGCAATATCCATGTACGCATATGCAATCGTAAACACATTGACGCACGGCCAATCTGATCGCTTCTGTGGAAGTTGAGTCATGTTATATGTAAGTTTTATTATATGCATTATATTTAAATAAGTATTTATCGATCTAATGTCGAACATCGGTGTTGTAAATCGTTTATACTCGGTGTAAATTTTTCTTAATCGTATAGACAGGGAATTTCATCTTCTTGGCGCAGTTTTAAACTGACTCGTGTATCGGCCGAATCCCCTTATTATTTACACGTCAATAAATTCTTATTACTTAACTGACTTGAGCTTAAAATAGACTTTCTAAGTAGTAATTATGTCGCATTTGAAATTGTTACTTTTCATATTTTACATTCCCCTAACACTGTGCCTTCTAGTTCTTGATAAAATAGATTTTTACTTACATTTTTATTCCATCATTAGCTTTATCCTATGCTATTTATTATCTGTTAAGATGATTTTAAATCTTTCTATTTTGAATTAAGCCAAAATCATGCACAAGTCTTCTTCAAAAAAGTAGATAAGGAACCAACAATTTTAGTATGTCCTAGTCCCATATCTTTTAGATTGTATATGTACTATATGTTAGAGTAATTATAATATAAATTCTGTACCTAATATGTTTTTACTTTAAGTTGGCCATTGATTGACGGGTCGCGGGCCTTTAATAAATGATTTTCTTTATTTTTCTTTAGTTTTCAGTGCATGACTAACTATTATAAAAGTAAAAAGTTTAAAAAGGACGCACAACTAACGCACGGTAATAAAAATACCATAATAATGACACCTTTCATTAAATATTCATCATAAAAATTAAACAGGTTAAGGTGCTAGTAAAATTTAGATGATTCGTAATTTTGTAATAAATCTAAAATTAACAAAAAAAAACATTTCCATACCGTAATCTCTTGTTTATATAACTTCCGTTAATAATTTCTGATCTCAAATAATGCACTGGAAACTAAGAAAATAATCTCATTAAATTAGGTATACATTCCATGATTTATTACTTACATAATTTAAAAGTTATTCATTATATATTTAAATGTATAATATATTGCTTAAATATCGTTTCATTTCTTCTATATCTTCAAATAAATTATTTCATTATTATATTTTACATTGGGCACGTCTCTTTAGGGAATCTTTTCGATTAATTTGTTATTGGGAAGAAAGAGGACAGTGATGTAGTCAAACAGATAATTGAAATGCATATTTAAAGTTTATTAATGAACTTGGAGTCTTGTATTTCATAAGAAATATTTTATAAATATTTATTTTCATCAATTTTAATAAACTATATGTAATTGTATATGACCTACGCGACCCGGGCCTACGTGTCAGTTGCCACATTTTTGCTCGTATTTTAAATTTCATCCATTCAAAGTTGTATTTCTAAGTCACTTATAAAAGCTAACGCACATTTCAAACTCGACTTTTAGAACACAAGAAATACTTAATAATATTATACTTGTGGCTCAATTGAAATGTTTATTCCTAAAATGCTTGGTAAGTTCTGCATATTATGTATTATTATCACTTTCATACCTATGTAACATGTAAACAGTACCTAATATATAAAATAAAATATATGAAAATGAAATAATAACTATAAATCCATAATATTTTGCTACCACATCGTTTAAAACTATTTAATCTGATAAAGTTCTGGCTTTAAGATTATATTGAAATTATATATACATATTATATATCTTCAATAATTTAATGTTCCAAACCAAATTATCGTACTGTTTACACAAACTTATTTTTTAATACTCTAATACGTACTCGTATTGTCCTTAAAATAAATTTATTGTGCTAAATAAAATGGAGCTATGCTGTCAATTTTATGATCTGTGGTCTTCTATTAGTTCTTCCATATATGTAACTATTCAACGCACGTAAATTACACCATGTTTTTATTGAATATATTTAAGACTATTATAATGTAAAGAGCTACGTTGTTTTTGTTTTAGATTTTAATTTATATAAGTGTTAATTTTTAAAATAAATATTTTACTTTGAAGCTAAGCGTTACATATCTAATAACAATCATGTATCAGTCTGCTCACCATTTTACAATTTTGGTTGTTTATGAAATATTGTGATATTCTTGTATGTTTCTGTTAGTCATTTAAATTTTTACAAGGCTTCAAGAGCAATGCAATTTATTGACTTAATATTCTAGTAGTTTGTGTCATAGGATAAATGTCTACAGTTAAGATATGTATTTACGTAGTTGCATTCAATACTATCTAGTCTTAGTATTTTCTAAAACTTTAAATCTCGATCAAAAATTAAAAATACTAGCACATACACGCAATTTTAGTTCTATATAATGGAAGTACCTATTATTATTTATATTATAGTATTTAATGCGACGCGAAATGTAATTTTAGTTGTAATTTAATATATTGCATTGTACAAGACATGTCACCTAATGAAGTCACATTTTTATATAAACATTAGTAAACATTTTTATAAACTATTTAGTGCTGTGAATTTTGGGAACGATTTAATTGTTTACGCTGTTTCTATTCGCGGCAATGCTCATTGCTCACGTCAGTATTAATCGTAATCGTTAATGTCAATTTAGTGTCACATTGTATCTATATATTTTTAAATTGTTTACGCAAAATACTTACTTTAGGTGACAGCCATATATTAACTAATGACCATTCAAATTGAAAGATGATTCTAGTTTCACTTATTGAGCTAATTGAATTGGAAAATTGATCTATATCAATGAATTGTATAACGACTAAATGAAATATCTTGACATACGCAGGCGTTCAGTATCTTATGTTGACGAGTTTCCGAAGTCTGAATAAGGTTTTTTAAACGTTTACCGTGCATGTAACTTGCACTTATTTACAAACGTATCAATTTTTCGGTGTATCTTAGAAATAACCGTGTCGAACAAGCGTCATTAGTGTAACATAGGCACTTATAGATTGAAATTAACCACTGTCCCTATGAAGTCTCTGTTGTATTTCTAAGAATACATGTTTTTAATGATTCACGTTTTGCCTATTCATGTATAATATACAAATTACAAAAAATAGTTCTTAACTTGTCTCGTTATTTTCTAAATTTACCCATTTTTAAATCGATTTTGTTTTGGAATAACTGAACAGAAGATTTCAGAATTGCACTAGAAAAACTAAAACTAAAGCTCAGTGCTAATTTTATTCATTAAATATATTTTTTTATTTCGCATAGATTATTTCTTCGTACCCGTTTGTTGTCACAAGCACTTTGTGAGTATTATGAAAGAGTACCTATAATACTATTATCCTATCTACTGATGGTTAAATTACTTTGTAAATAAAATTCATTTTATTTTTGTTCTTTTCGCGTATAATGAAAATAAATATTTACTTTTCAGGGCACAAGAATTGATTAATTAAATAGAAAAGAAAGGCTGTGCTAATCATTGAGACGTCCTTCAAATCGATTAAAAAAATAATAAAGATGGGTAAACAAAACAGCAAACTAAAACCTGAGGTCTTAGAGGATTTAAAACAGAACACAGAATTTTCGGGTATTATTTATATTTAAAGATGATTTATATTTAAATTAAATAGTATTTATACATAGTCTTGCCATAAATAGTGTTACAAAGAAAAAAAACATTTTTTCTATTGTACGTAACATTAATTACTATTACAGTGTGTTAGTTTAATACATTAATATAAAACCATTAAAAATAAAATATATAAAGCTTATTCGAAGTGGTCTCCATTGGCTGCAATATAGTCCTATAAATGTTGAGGCCAGTTACCAATAGAAGCACGCACTCTTTCCATGGGAAAATTCTTCACTGCCAATCGTATGGATTGTTTTAGGGACTCCAAATTATCATGGCATTTAGAGCAAGTCATACTGTCTAAAACTGACCATAAATCATAATCCAGCGGTTTAATATCGGGACTAGATGACGTCTTCAACTCTGATGAAGCCCGGAACGCGGGTTTCTAACCAAGATTGCGTGGATCGAGCTTTATGACCCGGCATTTTTTGAACATGGTGTTGTTAAGGGGCTTAACTACCTTCTCAAGAACGGTATCTTGATACACTTGTGCCGATGTTTTAATACCTTTTTCACAAAAATATGGCTCAGTCACTCCTTCATAGCTAACACCCCACCAAACCATCACTAAAGTCGGATAGTGCCCACGTTGTGCACTGTTGACTAATTGGTAATCTTCCTTAGAGCTTTGAGCAAAAATACAGTCATTTTGTTTGTTAAAATATTGCTCAATTGTAAAAAAATTCTCATCCGTAAACAGAATTTTTCTGTGACCTTCCTTTGCGTACCGCTTAAGTAGTTTTTTTGATTTTACCACCCTATTCTTTTTTAAATTATCAGTTCAGAAATGTCCAGTTCGTCTCTTATAAGCTGCAGTCCTAAATGATCTTTTAAAATACGCGACATGGTTCTAGGTAATATCTTCATTACCCGAGATAAAATCTTTTGCTTTCGGACAGTATTTCTTCGAATTCTTTCCCTTACTGCTTTGATCGCCTTTTTCGTATGAACACTAAGTGGGCAGCCAGATCTTTTTCTGTCACAAACAGAGGAGGTCTCATTGTACCTATCAATAGCCCGGTACACACACATTTGACTAATACCAAGCGTATGGCGTATTTAAAAATTGTATTTGGCTCCATACCTACTTTGTGTAATGCAATCACAGCAATTCGGTTGTCTTTATCATCCCACTACATTTTAATATCACAAAATATGTTACAATATATTGGCGTGAAAATGAGAAAACCTAATGAACAATCATATAAAAATGACGGATTCCAAATTCAAATGTAATATTTTGTTTATTTTTAATTGTAACAGTATTTATGGCCAGACTATGTATATATAGATGTATGAATGACAATAAAAACTAATATGGTCATACCTACGTTGCAGATGCAGAAATTCAGGAATGGTACAAAGGTTTCCTCAAAGATTGTCCTAGTGGCCATCTGTCAGTAGAAGAGTTCAAAAAAATATATGGGAATTTTTTCCCATATGGAGATGCTAGTAAGGTACGCTTAGATCTATAAATATTTGTAAAGTTATGATAAGGCTACCCTGTTACTATAATATCGAATACAATGGATTTTGTTTTTTATATAACTGCGAAATATTTTCTGTTGATATTTAAAAATTTCCCATCATATAAATGGGATTGTTTCTTAAAATTACGTTCAGATGTAAATTAACTAGTCTAATATAATTGATGTAGTTTGCAGAGCACGTGTTCCGTACATTTGACGCAAACGGGGACGGTACTATAGATTTTCGGGAGTTCTTATGCGCTTTGAGCGTGACCTCCCGTGGAAAACTCGAACAAAAACTCAAGTGGGCTTTCTCCATGTACGACCTAGATGGTAATGGATACATCTCCAGGCAGGAGATGCTAGAAATTGTTACTGTAAGTTAATTAAATATAAACGTTATATTAAATCCTATAAACAAAAAATTATAAAGTGGCAAGTAAGTTTGTAAGTTATTATGTATTAGTACGTATATTTATGTACTAATATATAATAACTTACATAATAGTAGAATCATGTGTTATTTAGTTATTAAATAATACATATTATAAAATTGTAAATACATATGTTTATTCGTCATGTTTGTATGTCTGTTTAAATGCGTTACATTCAAGAATGACAGAGTAAATTTTAATAAGACTTATTTTGTAACCAAAGAAAATCGACCAAAATTTTTATATAAATATTAAATATTCTTACCAAATTTCATCCAAATCAGTCCGGTAAAAGTAGTTTCTGAGTTTATTCGTTACAAACATGCAAAAATACAAATCTTTCATCTTTATAATATTAGTGTAGATACACGTGCAAAATGCAAGAATTAGCTTGTTTATTTATATATAAACCTATACAAACGCATTCTACATATTTAAACATAATATGCAGAGTAGAGAAAATTACAATTCCAAGCTAATTATGATGTAAGTTTTCAAAATGTATGTAAAATTTTAAAAAGGCTACTCACTAATTACAGGCCATTTACAAAATGGTTGGGTCCGTAATGAAGATGCCGGAAGACGAGTCGACGCCAGAGAAACGTACCGATAAAATATTCCGTCAAATGGACAGAAACAAGGATGGAAAGCTTTCCCTCGAAGAGTTCATAGAGGGAGCCAAGAGCGACCCATCCATTGTGCGACTTCTGCAATGCGATCCCCAATCTCAGTGATATCTCAAATACTAATTAACCCAACAAAACTTTAAGAACACTTAATCCAATGTAGACTTTAGTATACTTTCACTCTTATATGCTTGTAAGAGCTAGTGCGCGGCGTTAAGCGTTATGCACGAGGAATCTCTATGACGGTCCTGTTGCTTAGCTGTTATAAAACTTCCCTTTTTGTGTTCTATACCCTTTATTATCCTTATAATATCTAGTTCGTACGTGATTTGGACTTGGCGCAAAAGCATCGAATCGACGCTAGTTTTTAAGCTTGTATTGTATCGTATACTGATAACGGGATGACGGTTTTATCTAAAAACATGACGATACTCCTATTCGTAAATACGCTTTATTTGTATGATGAGTAAGAGTTTCATCAAGTTTGGGCATTGGGAACAGACAGATAATTGCTTTAGTTAAGCTTGTCGCTTTTGCGTTATTTCTAAATCGCTATTTGTATAGTGATATACGATGGTAACGTTAGAAAAAGTAAGCAGTCTTATGTAACCAGACACCAGGAAATAACAATAATAAGAGCCTTTAAGAAAAAGGATATTTTTTTAAATATTACGTGAAAAGTAACATGGGGCTGTGCGGGCATACATAGTAGGTATAAGTAGAAGTAAGAATATCCATTAAATAGACATAAAAGTTAACAGTCGATACAGACGGTCTTAATATACACATCGCTTTATTACTTCTCAAGACAATCTTCCCGCTATCTTCTTTCTATATTAAAATATTGACTTCATCATTCCTCACAGCTCCAACACAAGTTCCGCTTTTATTTAACGATATTATTATTTACATTTTAATAATACAATCTCGATGTTTACCATCGAGTTGTCCAAAAACAAAATACTTTACCGATTCGGTATTTTTTTTATATCTAGTTTGAGATGACCTCTTACAAAACTGAAAAGATCTGATTCGGCCTGTCACGGCTCTATTACCTGAGTATTGTGTATGACTTCGAAAGACGTATTCTAAATGATAATAAAAATTTAACACTATAATATATAAAATCGTAGCTAGGTTTGTCATATAGATGCGAGAAACTAGTTTGTTATATGTATCGATATACAGTATACACGCTTTGTGTATATTGTTATGCAATGTTTTATAATAGTTGAACGCGTTTTCAGCGGATGACGGTTTATAGACATTTTTGAAGGTTAAATTTGAGTAGGGCCGACACGTGTTTGATCCATTTTAGATGATTATATTTTTATCTTTAGAAACGATATTGAATCGATGCTTTATATAATTAATCTCCCCAGTACCTTCGTGTTAAGAAATTGGCATTTTCTTAGATATATTACAACAATTAAAGTATACAAATAATTACAACGTTTATCAATTTTTTCAGGCTCTTTTGTGTTTATGCTTGACTAACATATCGGTTGCATCTGTGAAAGATTTTTTTTTTTGTAAAAGACGATTGTTCTAAGGTAAACATTCGAGAAAGTTATGTTGCGAACCAAAATAGAAATCAAAAACACTAATGTTTTGTGCAATTCCTGTTATATTTATTCTATTCGCATAAGATACTTGTAGTTATAGACGAACAAGACAGTGAATCTATTTGCACAAGCCGACAATGTGAACGCAACAACGGATTCTGATAAACATAATTTAATTACGTATTGATGATTTTGAATAGCTGTTATTATTAAGGTTTAGTTGTAATAGATTTTTTTTAAGATTAATCGTAGTCTTGAGTCAGTATAAGTATTATCCAGTTATATTACTTTATTTAACACAATCAATTAAAATTTAAATTATTTGCGAGTGTTAGTGTTTAAATTATAAGTTGAGAGTCGACAATCACGCATCATTATTCGCATCAAAACCCATTGGAACCCATGAAATAGGATTTTCAACAAACAATCAATGATCAATTTTTTTAAATCGAACATAATCATAGTTAACAGTCGACGGTAATATTTAAACGCTTTATTAACATTGTGATTGGATAACGATATAAGAAATATATCACCGTTTAATATTACACGATTAACGAACCCGAGACAATATTTTCCACAAACTAGAATTATAGTACAAAAATATGCATATTCGTATTTATATGTATATAGCGCATTATTATTATTTTCTATAATATTATGGATAGTAGAATATACTTGAAAGTAAAGCGACAAATCCTTTATGAAGGATCTTATCAACGAAAATCTTTTCCCGGTAATCATATGAATGCTAAATTGAAAACGATGTCGAGTAGACAATATGTAGTAGTATTTCTTTTTTTTAATCGATAAGATATCGATATAATATTTTTTACCGTAATCGGATGAATTTATAAATATTTTTCATAATAGTTCTCCAGTAGGAGACACATCAATCTCATACTGCTTTGTTTTTTTACATCTATTTGTCGACTAAATTTTCGTCTAATTATTTCAAGACTTTGTCTTACTATGTTTGACTATATCATTTTATTTTATAATATGATATTCAACATAAATCCTTATCTGATTTTAGGTCACGTATTTCTTTTGCGTGCAATATACTATTCAATTGACATTTATTTAAATTTTATTTTCATCTTATTGTTTTAATGAATTATTTACTTACATATTAATTATTATTATTGGTATTTTATTAACAGTATTAAAGGAATTTATGTTGGTCGTTTTGGTGTGATTTATATTTATCGCTATGCAATTCATTTTCATTTTGTCTACTAATATTTATATTGTGTTTGAAATAAATACATATTTATGTTTCATGCACAACTTCTATTTTCGCACAATTCTAAATTAATATAAAATAATACAATGAATCTTAAATTCTACTATAATTTAATTATTTTGTATTTATACTCTTATGTGACATTAAATTATTTAATATGTACCAAAGTTTGACCCGAACGGTGTTAGAAATGCATTGGTAGGATCTTTAGCAGTAGTAGAGCGGGATATTGAGCTTGGCCATCATCTGCGTACCAAAAATGATTTTAAGCGACAAATAATCTGTATTCAAAAGCTCTTCCTATTACGCATATGGTGACGGTGAACTAACTGGCCATGTCGGATACTAAACAAGGATACTAGTTGTAACATTTATTCGTCAGATTTGAGGAGCTATCATGTTATACATTTAATTTAATCTGATAACAGAGATAATGGTGCACTGTATTTATGTACGTGTAACATTTATAGCTACCTCAAGTGTGATGGACGTGTTGAAATGACCTACGATGTGTCTTACCACATACATATAATATATTATAGTGTATAAGTAAATTTGAGTTAATTTTACTATAGATCTAGCAACACAGCTACTATTTTAGCTACGCTGTGGTTACTTTACTTATGATAGATTTATGCTGCGTCACAATCGTAGATCAATTCTATGTCGAGTCCACAATTACGCCTACATATTTATTTTTAAATCTCATATAATTTAGTTTACAAAAAAAAGATGAAATATACAAAAACAACAAATAGTTAAACCTTTTTCTTGATCTTTTCAAATAATAGATTTCATTTTTCGAGATAGTTCATTATAAACTGTTCTACGACTGTGATGATTACGAAAATGCGATAACAAGAACGTTTCATAATTTATACTAGAATTTAAGATAAAATTCTTAGTTATTATAGCTCATTGTCACATTTGAGGAGCTATCATAATAGCTAACATATTATATAATTTAATTTAACTTAATCCAAGGCAAAACGATACACCAACTATCTATAAATAATACCAATATGTATTATATACAATCGTAATATAACACGTATAGCTCTCTCAAGTGTGGCGTACCGAAAATGACCTACATTTGTGTCTTAACATTAAGCAACCGACTTCAGTAACCCGGCTATCGTCATAGCTACGCAACGATTATATTAATGTAGAATTTTAACAAATTAAGGCGTCTGATGGTAATTTTATTGAATATAGTATAAGGTTTATACAGTGTTAATGCGTTTGAGGATCGAGGTTTAAATGTTTTATATGACATTTGTAGCCCCCTCAGATGCGGTGTAACTTAATATTTTATTATTGTCTTAACGAAGAAATAACTTATAATAGAATTAATTCAACGTTAACTAATAAGATTGATAGAATCATGTTCTAAAGTAATTATAATCATTTTTGACATGTATTTTGCCTAACCTGTTAATAATATAAAGCACAACCGAAAAGTTTTTTGCAACTTAATATAATATTTATTGTTCTATTGATCGCTGGCATAGATTTTACAAAGGCACTTAAAAATATTTGCTTTACAGGTGTTCAGGAATTACAAAATACACTCAATAAGACCTATTTAAATAATCTTGTAGTTAATATTGGTATTTTCTTTAAGTGAATATAATCTTTGCCTTTAAAAATACAAGATGAAATAACAAGATGTCCGTAATTTTTTAAATATATGTAAATGTTGACTGTTCAATGTTATTTTGTGTGGATTGTTTAGTGACGCCATTTTAAAAATATTCTAAAGTTCACATTTTAAATTCTAGGGCTGTGTTACTTATGATAACATCAATAAAAGTTGTATTTTTAATAGAATACTTCATTGAATGTAGTAACCATGGAGTACAGATATAAGCAATAATGATGATGTTAGTATTATAATAGTATCTATAAAGTTATTGCTTTCGTACAGTCAAGTTCTAGATTCGTTATTCGGCATTGACGAAATATTCGGTGATCGGTATTAATTAGACATTCGGTGTAGGCATATTCAGAAAGTTCATAAAACCCACGCTTCACCATGCTCACATTCATATAAATTAATAATACAAATCTTACATATTCTAAATAATAGTAATAATTGTGTTTAAATGTATAATTCTATATTGTGTATTACAGATTAGTGTAAATTTTTAAAGGATTTAGATAAAAATGTGTTTGATGAAGTGGATGGAGATAAGAGTCATGATTAATGTGTAGAAAACATCAGGCACGAAATAACAATGGCAATCTGTAAACGGTTATGGATGTCAACGTTTTCTGCGTGATTGAAATAACGT